GATTGTTATCGAGCAGAATCAGCGCGGGTGCATGTCCTCTAAAATGGTGGTTGAAGCATGAAGGGACATATGAATCTTTAGCACACCTGGCATGTAAATATCTAGTGACACTGGCTACAATAGTGCCATGGGAACGCCTGTTCTCACTTTCAGGTGACATTGTTAACAAGAAGCGAGCAGCATTATCTCCTGCATATGTAAACAAACTTCTTTGTCTGAGCGATTGACTGAATAAGAAATAGGACTGAGAGGACTTGACATTGTTTTATTTTTGAATGTAGTTATTTTTTGTACATAATTCTACATTTGTAAGTTCAACTTTCATTACAAAAAGATTGCAATAGGCGAATTGAAAAATACTATTTATTTTGGTTTTTTTACAGTGCAAATATTTGTAATCAAAAATAAATATAAAGTGAGCCCTGTACACTTTGTATTCTGTGTTGTAATTGAAATCAATATATTTGGAAATGTAGAAAACATTCAAAAATATTTAAATAAATGGTATTCTATTATTGTTTAACATTGTGATTAATTGCATGATTAATCACACTTCATTTTTTAATTACATGATTAATTTTTAATTGCGCAATTAATCACGATTATTTTTTTAATCACTTGACAGCCCTAATTTAATTGCAGTACTGTTACTATAACCTAGCCCAGAAATGACCAGATAATTGCAGATTTCTCTTAAATGCTCATCCCTTAGTTCTCCTAGCTCCATAGGATGATTCTCTAAGCCACCGCCAGGTTTGGAAAGATATTTAGGCACTTAACTCCCACACAAATTAAGGGGAATTAAGTGCCTAACTACCTGTTTACTTCTCATTCCTTCGGGGGAGTGGGAGGTGTGCTGGTGAAAAGGGAGAATGGAACACCCACTGCATTACACTGGTTTAACAGGTACATATATCTAATTCCCCCAATCACCGTCACTTAAAAGTGATCATTAAAATCAGCTGTCTCAAGGCAGGCTGCTTTAGTTGCTAGAGCCCAGGCTAGGCGGCACTAAGCCTTGGTGTAATGCATGCAGTCAAGTAGAGCTGCAGAAACCAGGTGTCGCTCTGGGTGCATAGAGACATCTCAGCAGATGGAGGCAGACTCTGCAAAGGGACCGAGGAAAGCAGAGACAGTGAAAACCAACTTCAGCTCCCCAAGCTCAGTCCACTTCTGTGGTGCGGTCGCCACTTCACGGTCAGGATTAAAAGTAAGTGCTGAAATCCTTAGGCCAAATCCTGAGGCTCTGATTCATTTGCTCAGTGTTTTCTCCAGTAAAACTCCCACTGAGCAGGATCAATGGGAGCTTTTCCTGAGTCTGGACTTCAGGATCTGTGCTTTTTTACTGTTGGGGTTATTGCTTAGCTAAATAGAGATGTTTCATTTTTGCTATCCCCTACAGTGAGAGATGGGGGCATTCAGTACCTTTTACGAGCCATTCATGGTGCATGGAAAATCCATGCAGATCAGGAAAGAGCAGCCTCATCTGTCACTGTGGCATGGCCGTTAACTGTGCCATTACTGTTCTGTCTCACTTCCTATTCTCCTCTTGATGTGTCTCCTACTGCCTCCTGTTATTGCTGTGCTGCAAGGCTGCAGAGAGGGGCTGGGAGCAGTGAGTTATGGCTACTACATAGCAGCAGGGACACAGCAGAGACTCCGTTTGCAGTTCCAGGCTCCTATCAGCTGGGCTGCAGTGTGCAACCAGGGGCGGATGGATGCTCAGGGTTTGCTGGCCAGTCTGTGGGGAGCTGAGAGGGGCCAGGAAGGATTTTTCCCCTGGTTCAGATTGGCAGAGACCTTCTCTGCAGCATGGGGCACTAGCAGGTTTGAACTAGTGTAAATGGTGGATACTCTGTAACTTGAAGTCTTTAAACCATGATTTGAGGACATCAGTAACTCAGCCAGAGGTTATGGGTCTGTTACTGGAGTGGGTGGGTGAGGTTCTGTGGCCTGCAATGTGCAGGAGGCCAGACTAGATATTTATGTTGGTCCCTTCTGAACCTAAAGTCTATGAGTGACCTCTGCATGTGTCTGATGGGGATATTTCCGTTGTGCAGGGCTCTGGTCAGATTCAGATCTGCCTTCTTTCCTGTGGCACTGATCATCCTGGGGGGTAGATTGCAAACCATTTGCTTCCCAATCAATGGGACAGGATCTCAGCAACTCTGGTTCTCAGTGCTGTAGGGCAGGGTCTCTCCTCTTCCCTTCACCCCTGCAGGAGCCTGGGAGGGGAGCAGAGAGGAGGCTAACATGTACCTTTTCCCTGAGCTAGGGAGAATGTAAGGCACAGACCCTCCCCCACTGCATGGATGTGGCAGAGCAAAGCAACATGAACCTGGAGCCCCCTTCTGCCCCCTCCCTCTCCGTCAGTTCCTGCTGCTTCCCCAGGCCCTGAAAGGAACGACTGAGCGATGGGAGCCTAGTTCAGCTTGGTGGATTTGCTGGGGAGTTTTCTTCTTCACCCCACAGATGCCTGTGCAGGGCCCTGGAGAACAAGGAGCCTGGTGGGAGAACAGTACAGAGGAGTGACCACCGTCAAGGGTCCAGGGATCACTGGGCAGAGACAAAGTACAGTGCCCTACCCCCATGGATGGGAAGAGGGCACAGAACAAAGAGTAAAGGAGTACTTGTGGCACCTTAGAGACTAACCAATTTATTTGAGCATAAGCTTTCATGAGCTACAGCTCACTTCATCGGATGCATTCAGTGGAAAATACAGTGAGGAGATTTATATACACACAGAACATGAAAAAATGGGTGTTATCATACACACTGTAAGGAGATCCACCGGCCTCAGCCTCCCAAGTAGCTAGGATTACAGGCGTGCGCCACCGCACCTGGTAAGGAGAGTGATCACTTAAGATGAGCTATTACCAGCAGGAGAGTAGGGGAGGGGGAAGAAAACCTTTTGTAGTGATAATCAAGGTGGGCCATTTCCAGCAGTTAACAAGAACATCTGAGGAACAGTGGGGGGGGGGGAATAAACAAGGGGAAATAGATTTACATTGTGTAATGACTCAACCACTCCCAGTCTCTATTCAAGCCTAAGTTAATTATATCCAGTTTGCAAATTAATTCCAATTCAGCAGTCTCTCCTTGGAGTCTGTTTTTGAAGTTTTTTTGTTGAAGAATAGCCACTTTTAGGTCAGAAATCGAGTGACCAGAGAGACTGAAGTGTTCTCCAACTGGTTTATGAATGTTATAATTCTTGACATCTGATCTGTGTCCATTTATTCTTTTACGTAGAGACTGTCCAGTTTGACCAATGTGCATGGCAGAGGGGCATTGCTGGCACATGATGGCATATATCACATTGGTAGATGTGCAGGTGAACGAGCCTCTGATAGTGTGGCTGATGTGATTAGGCCCTATGATGGTGTCCCTTGAATAGACATGTGGACGTAGTTGGCAACGGGCTTTGTTGCAAGGATAGGTTCCTGGGTTAGTGGTTCTGTTGTGTGGTGTGTGGTTGCTGGTGTGTATTTGCTTCAGGTTGGGGGGCTGTCTGTAGGCAAGAACTGGCCTGTCTCCCAAGATTTGTGAGAGCGATGGGGCGTCTTTCAGGATAGGTTGTAGATCCTTGATGATGTATTGGAGAGGTTTTAGTTGGGGGCTGAAGGTGACGGCTAGTGGCGTTCTGTTATTTTCTTTGTTGGAACTGTCCTGTAGTAGGTGACTTCTGGGTACTCTTCTGGCTCTGTCAATCTGTTTCTTCACTTCAGCAGGTGGGTATTGTAGTTGTAAGAATGCTTGATAGAGATCTTGTAGGTGTTTGTCTCTGTCTGAGGGGTTGGAGCAAATGTGGTTGTATCGTAGAGCTTGGCTGTAGACAATAGCAGCAGGGTGTGCTCTGGGTGAAAGCTGGAGGCATGCAGGTAGGAATAGCGGTCAATAGGTTTCAAGTATAGGGTGGTGTTATGTGACCATCACTTATTAGCACTGTAGTGTCCAGGAAGTGGATCTCTTGTGTGGACTGGTCCAGGCTGAAGTTGATGGTGGGATGGAAATTGTTGAAATCATGGTGGAATTCCTCAAGGGCTTCTTTTCCATGGGTCCAGATGATGAAGATGTCATCAATATAGCGTAAGTAGAGTAGGGGCATTAGGGGATGAGAGCTGAGGAAGCGTTGTTCTAAGTCAGCCATAAAAATAAGCAAAGTGCATGTATCCAAGCTGCTTGAAACAGGGAACATTGCTTGTTTTAGGGGTAGGGGTGAATACAATTGCAAATTGCAAATTCCTTTTTGATCCCCCATTTTCAGAGGGGAAACTACCAAGCCCTATTGAAAATCTGGCCCCAGTTTTGATTGCCGGACCCTCAGAAATCTAGCCCAGAGTTCCTTTGAAAATCTGTCTTTGGAAGGGCTTTTAAAAATGTATTAACTTCTTCTCAGTAAAGTAGCCCATGGGAATTCACTGATTGTGTCAACAAATTGCCTAAAAATAACCTTGGTGGCACAGGCAGAGACTTTGGCTAACCACACAAGTATGTATCCATGGGGTTAGGTGGGATTGTGGCTGGGAGGTAGCCTGAGCAGCAGGGGGGCTGGAACAGTTTGCACAGTGGGGGTGCTGAGAGCCATTGAACCAAGCTGTAAACCCAGTGTATAACGGAAACCCCTTCAAGCCAGGGGGTGCTTCAGCACCCCCCGCACCCTTGTTCCGGGACCTATGCTGAGTAGCCGCTAGTCAGCATGACCTGGAATTGTCCATTTGGTGATCTTCCACACTGATCTCTAGCAGCTGCTCATGGCTACTGTCAGAGATAGGGTACAAGACTGGATGTAAGAGTGGGCTGGTCGGATGTGAAAATTGCTATATTTCTTGTTTCTTACAAAGTTTGCAACATATTAATTACTTGACTCTGTAAGAGAATATAAATCCTCATTTCAGTTTGCTCTTTGGATTTTTAAAGCTAATTGGTTGAATATTTATTCTGGTTTAGCCATGCTTTATGTTCTAATTATTTTTCATAATCTCTTCTTAAAGTAGCTAAATGGCATGGAGAAAAGAAAATGGGGAAATCAAACGTCCATCCCAGAATTCGTCCTCCTGGGTTTCAGGAATCTCCCTGGATTGCAGATTCTTCTCTTCCTGCTTTTCCTAGTGATCTACATTGTTACCATGGCAGGGAACATCCTCATGGTTGCACTAGTTGTGGCTGATCAGCACCTGCACACCCCCATGTACTTTTTCCTGTGGAATTTGTCCTGCTTGGAGACCTGCTACACTTCCACCATCCTGCCCAGGATGCTGGCCAGTCTCCTCACTGGGGACAGGACCATCTCATTTAGTGGTTGTATCATACAGCTTTATTCTTTTGGTTTCCTAGTGGTGACGGAATGTTTTCTCCTAGCAGCAATGTCTTATGATCGGTATTTAGCGATATGCAAACCCCTGCACTATGCAGCCTGTATGAATGGTAGGTTCTGTCTCCAGCTAGCAGCTGGCTCTTGGATAAGTGGCTTTCTGGCTATTACCATAATTATATTTTTGATGTTGCAGTTAACATTCTGTGGCCCCAATGAAATAGACCATTTCTTTTGTGATTTCATTCCACTGCTTAAACTGTCCTGCAGTGACACGCAACTGATTTCAATGGTAAGTTTATTCCTTTCCTTCTTTGATACATTTCCCCCTTTTCTATTAACGGTGGTATCCTACATATATATCATCGCCACCATCCTGAGAATCCCATCCACCACTGGGAGGCAAAAGGCCTTTTCCACCTGCTCTTCCCACCTCATTGTGGTGACCGTTTTCTATGGAACCTTAGTTATTGTCTACATGCTACCAAAAAACAACACACTGAGAGACCTAAATAAAGTGTTCTCTGTCTTCTACACAGTCCTGACTCCTCTGCTCAACCCCCTCATCTACAGCCTAAGAAATAAGCATGTAAATATGGCCCTAAGAAAAGCTCTGACTAAGTTCACAGGATCAAATTTGCAGTAGGTGTAAACTGGTGTGTCTCCGCAGTAGTCAATGCAACTGTGCTGATTTACTCCAGGTGGTTATCTGGTCTGTAGTGATCACCAGAATTTGACTGGGTATAATATCATGAGGATAAATCAATCTGTTTTAAATGCTCTGATGGGGCTGCATGTTAATGGTTCCATACTTAAACCACATGATGCATCACAGGAGACTGTGAGGATGTAGTGAGTTCTGTGGTAGCTTCTTCAAATTTAGTGCCTGTGTCTCGGATGCGGGGCCATGGGAGTCTTTGGGGTGCAGGCTTCTTGTAATACAACTAATGTCCCACCTTCTCCCTCAAAGTGGAGAATCTGAATGGGGGTAGGCAAATCTGACCAAATTGCATAGGACAAGATCTATGCCAAGACTGAGTATACTGAAATATATAACTAGGTGAAAAGGTAATTGACCTGATGGATGTCCATAGTGTCTGTATATGAAGCATTTTAATATTCTGTCAAATTTCCAATAAAAATGAAAAAAAAATAAAGTATCTCATTTGTTGTCTCTTTCTTTTAATGTATCCCTCACAGTCTGTGAAGTGACATGCATTCATTATCAGATAGGTGAGGAAATACCTTTTTATTGGGCCAACTTATGTTGGTGGAAGGAACAAGCATTTGAGCTACACAGAGCTTTTCTTCAGGTTGTTCTATCAAGTCATTTTCAGATATTGGTTCTGGAGAATGGTCAACAAGCAAAACAAACACACACAACTCAAATATAGTATCTTCCTTCTTATCTATATTATCAGATTCCAGAATTGTCACTCAGAAGCCTAGAACATCTATTGAGTCAGTGCGAAGGGATGGAAACAGCCACAAGATTGGTAGAGAACTCTTTTTGTTTGAAATATAACCACGTTCAGTCATCACTGGTGTTCACAGTCTGGTCTCATCCCATTTTTAAGTTCTCAGACACTTTCAGCTTTTTTTACACATAGGACTTCATGAGAGCATAGGATTTCAACTACTAGTCTGCAAATAATCCATCGGTTCAAACCATTGTCTACTCCCACAAGCTTTTAGCCCGTGGTGTACTTGTCTAAACTGAAGGCTTTTGATTAAATATCAAGAAGTGCCAACCTAGCTGTAAGTAAAATACAAGATCAAATGTCTCCTAACACCTATGTTTTGCCCATCCAGATGTCATGGGCTTGATACAGGAATGACTTGGTGGAATTCTCTGGCTTGTTCTGTGCAGGTGTAAGCAGGGGAATAGTCCCGCTCTTGTGGGGAACTTTCCTGGCTTCTGCACTACCCCAGTGAAGTGGGCTAGTGAAAGGATCTGAGTCCTCACTCCCACTTCCTTTACCCAGTGGCCTCCCTGCCCTTGAGGACTCCCCTTCCACTCCCGTCTGGCAGAGTCCTTGTACATCCAACAAGGCTGGGCCCAGGATTCCTGGGGGGCTCGACTCCCAACCCTGCTGTGGTCACCTAGGACGGGGCTAGGATGTCCCCACTCCGGGGTACTCTCTCTGCACTGGGTACTTCTCTGACCCACTTACCATTACATACAAGTTAAAGCAAATGCAAGTTATTTCATCAACAATTAATTTTAAAAAGAATAAGGAATAATGGGAAAGTTTAAAGGAAACACATCAGCCCGCTCTGTGGCAGGGAACATCACAAACAGTGTCTCTGGAACGTCAGGGCAGTTCACAGCCTGTCCCTTGTAAGTCCCAGGCCTTCTTCTCAGGCCCTGGCTGTGCTGCAGGGATGCTGTGGGTTGGACACTTGCTCTGGTGGTGGCCACAAGCTCTCAGGCTCTAAGTGGTAGGATCCTTCTTCCCAGCATCGCCCCCGCCCTGTCGGGGTTACGATCCAAGCCTGGCCTGCAGAGCCTCTTGGCTGAGGCATCTCCCTGTGCTGGGCCCGCTGCCCAGGGTCCCCCTCGCACTCCCCAGCTGCTCACCGCACCCAGCTCCGGACTGCTCCAGCCCCAGCTCCACCACTCGGTCTCTGCACGGCTGCTGCTGCTCTGCCTCCAGCTCCCTGGGCTGCTTCTCTGGCCCCTCTGGCTCTGGTTGCAGCAGCTCTGCTCCCAGGACAGGGTCTGCTCTCTCTGGGCTGTTTTCTCGTCCCTCTGGATCTGGCACAGCTCTGCTCCCCAGCTTAGCTTGGGCCCCTGCTTTCTCCTCAGCTCGGCCCCATTCTGTCTGACCCAGGCAAATCCAGCTCACACGGAGGACGGGACCACCCTGGCCTCCTGACTGCCTGATTAGCCTGCTTGCCCTGTCATTCAGGCTGACCTGGAGCATTGGCCTCTCCCCATTGTTCCTGGGGGATGTCAGTCTCAGGGTACTGATTCGTCATCAACCCTTCCCCCTTTTTAGTAGTGGGAGCTAGCCAACCTAAACACCCCCACTGAATGTTAGTAAGGGGGCAACAGTCCCCTTACACAGGGGATGGGTCATGCTGGTCTTTGCTTCTGCTAAAATCAATGGATGAAACCCTGGTCCCATTGAAGTTGGTGTCATTTGCTTTAACGGGGCCAAGTTTTTGCCCTGTGAATCTATCACCCACTGGCAGGAACATGCCCAGTTGAACAAGGTATGGGAGTGACAGGAGAATCCAAGCCAGGTGCGACTATGCTGCATTGGCTTTGCAATGGTGTTTTTTGTGCAAATATTTTTGATTCAGTGCTTCCCAGTGAGGGACAGTCTGCAATGGTCCAGGCAGGAAGGCGGAGATGGCTCAAGATAATTCCCTCATCAGCTTCCCCTTAAGGTTAGTTAAGGGAAAATACTCAAACTATGGGCTCTGCTGACTCTGGGTTGGTCCCACACAGTCTGCAGAGCTGGTTTGATTAGCAGGGACGAAAGCCTAACAAGACTTGAAGAAGCCTCCAGGGTTTGAAAGGAGAGTCTTTTGGAAAGGGGCTCTTTAGGGGGACAGCAGGGCTCTCTAAAACAGCTAGGCTTGCCATTACAGCATGGCATGACTTCAGGTAAAACAGACATGTATACAGGTGCTTTCTGTTTTCAAATCCTTTCTTATCTAACATTTTGTTCCCACTGCTGAATAAAAGTACTCTATTTTAAGGAAGCTACTAGTCACAGGTTCCCAGAGGGAGGAAATTCAGGTGCCAAAAACCTAGTGGGACTTCCATGGTGGTAACCCATTGCTATGCCTGGGGTAGCCTGACCCAGGTGCTGGTCTCAAGGGTACGTCTACACTGCTGCTGGGTGTGTGCTTCACTACCCTGTGCTCTAGTTAGCTCAATAAAAATAGAAGTGAGGGTACCATTGCAGGGGTTTCAGAGCAGGCTGCACAAGGGAGTACATATCTGGGGGGGGGGGTCAGTGATGCTATCCTCTCCTTGCTTGTATTTTTAGTGCATGAGCTAGAGCACAGCTAGAATCATAGAATATCAGGGTTGCAAGGGACCTCAGGAGGTCATCTAGTCCAACCCCCTGCTCAAAGCAGGACCAACCCCAACTAAATCATCCCAGCCAGGGCTTTGTCAAGCCTGATCTTAAAAACCTCAAAGGAAGGAGATTCTACCACCTTCCTAGGTAACGCATTGCAGTGTTTCACCACCCTCCTAGTGAAAAAGTTTTTCCTAATATCTAACCTAAACCTCCCCCACTGCAACTTGAGCTCCTTGTTCTGTCATCTGCTACCACTGCGAACAGTCTAGATCCATCCTCTTTGGAACCCCCTTTCAGGTAGTTGAAAGCAGCTATCAAATCCCCCCTCATTCTTCTCTTCCACAGACTAAACAATCCCAGTTCCCTCAGCCTCTCCTCATAAGTCATGTGTTCCAGTCCCCTAATAATTTTTCTTGCCCTCCGCTGGACTCTTTCCAATTTTTCCACATCCTTCTTGTAGTGTGGGGCCCAAAACTGGACACAGTACTCCAGATGAGGCCTCACAAATGTCGAATAGAGGGGAATGATCATGTCCCTTGATCTGCTGGCAATGCCCCTACTTATACAGCCCAAAATGCTGGTGCTGATATGTCTACAAGAGCTGCCAGTCATATCCCTGGCTGCAGTGCAGATGGATCTTCAGAGGGTGAGAACTGTGAGATTCCACCTTGAGGCAGGTCAGAGCATGGGCCTTGCAGGTGTGCTCCCAGAGAAACCTGAGGGGCAGCCAGCCCCATAACTGTGACAATGGGATTTTCCAAGTTGCTCATTGGAATTAGGAGCCCAAAGCCCACTGGGTACAAAAGAGAGTTGGATAACTAACTGCCTTAAGCTCGGTGGAAAATCCCAACCTTTGCATACAATGTAACTGGCACTATGTTTTCTAGTGCTGCAACTTTCTGCCTTTTCACTTGGTCTCCTGCCCTGCTGTGGGATGCACACAAGGGAAAACAGGAGGTGGATTTCTCAAGGCTTGTGGTAAAGGCTCAGCTGAGCCCAGACACAATAGGAATGGTTCTTAGATGTCCCGGTGAGGTTTGGGGTCCCATCATGCTGGTTCTTGAATACAAGTGAAATTAAAAGGACCCATCTGAAAAGGGTAAGGTCTAAAGCTCCAATCTCAGTAGCTGATTCCATGTCAGCGGGTCGCTGCAGTTCCATGTACCCAACTAAAATCAATAGAGCACTGATGGGAAGAGTTTGTAGTGGGGGACTGTTGTAAACACTCAGAGAGAACAGACCTCCTGGGAAACAGTGCGTCATGCTCTCTCCCAGCCATGCATACTCATCTGTCTCTCTTCCTATCCTCATTCCTACTCACCTATCTATCCCCATGCATATCTACCTTCCTACCTGTTCTCCTGTATACTTATCTATTTAGCCCCATACATACTCCTCTATCTACTTATCCCCATACAAGTGTTATGTCTGATCTGACTTTTTCAGTCTATTATCTACTAGAATTTTTTGGGGGTTTGACAGATAACTGGGTTTTGGATAAACTGGATTCTTCTGCAGAAATCCTTCATTATTTATTATCATCACCATTATTGTTTATTATTAGTGCCTCACAGGACCCAGACAGGATTGGGACTGTTTGTTCCAG